GCATCCTCAGGTGATTTTTATCAAATAACCTCTTAATGCTTTATTTCTTTTAAAAAACTAATGAAATCCTATCTTATTATTTTCAAAAATAAATAAACAAACACAACGTTGGGTAGAATAGAAAGGGAGGAGAAGGATGTGAAGAAGGGAGAAGGGAAGAAAAGCAAGGCTATTGTAAATGTATCAGTTGGGGGTTAATTACAATATACCTTACCTTTTTTTTTTTATCCAGCCTCATATGTGCTTAAGAGGAATTTTCTAATATGTAAGCAAGGACTTATGACTTTGGTTTTCTGGTTTAAAAAGTTCTTTGGATCCACAAATGTCATAATCACTAATTTTCTCTGTTGACAGAGGTTGCAAATATTGTGGTTGTTTTAAGGCCTTGCCTTTTTAAAAATTCTCCATCTTAAAATCAGATACCTGTTGTTTTTTCTTTTAAATTCCACACATGGTCAGCTAGTTTGGTAGAGTACCTAAGATTTGCTAGCATAAATGGCAACCTATGATTACATTTGAAAATACCTCCTGTACATCCTATGTACTTTTTAATTTGGCCATTAAAATCTGTACTTCTCTGTTATAAATTATAGCTTCTGTCTTACAAGTTCCATTTAATGAACATCTATTCTTATTTCTACAGTTGCATAAATTACTAGTGTTAACTATATTTTGCTGTGTGTTAGTTTTGAGATTTCTGGCATTTTATCTATTTATTATGGTTTATAAATTACTAGTACAGCTGTAGCTTAATTTAACTGTGTTTTTATTGAATATCTTATGTAATTCTGAAATTTTTAAAATGTGTTTAGTAAGTAACTTGAAAAATAATTTACCTATTTTACATTTTAAAAAGTTAAAAAGGGAGTAAAACCAAATGATATTTTTCTTTTCATATGTTTAATTTGTTGAGATTTAAATTCTTGTTTGGTTTTGTGACCCTCTTACATTTAAGTTCTTCTCATATTCTTTCTTTTTATCCTCAAAAATTATTCTACTAGAAGAGTTTCTGGATAACCAAGACTCTATTCCTTTAGGAATGTGCTTTATTATGTTCGCTGGGTGGTTGGATCTAATATTTATGTGTGTGTATATATATATATATATATATATATATATATATATGAGAATATTCTGTATGTCTATATAGACGTTTCTTTGAATGTGACAGACAAGGAAAATTTTAGTTTTTATTAGAAATTTTTTTTTTTTTTTTGTGAGGAGACGGGCTTATCCCAAATGCTTTTAGCCATTTTCAAGTGGTTTCTTGTTCATGTTTTCTATGTTTATGTTGTAAGCTGTATTGTATGGTAATATTAGAAATTCTACCTTGTGCAAGTGAGATGGGCTGTGTTTCTATGTTGGAGTATCTTTTAAAAGACAAGACATTACTGCTCTTTTTAAATATGGGAAAGCTTGGCTTGAATTGTTTACATAAAGAATTTCTATGATCTTAAGATGCCATTGACATTTAGAGTTATTTAGAATGATGGTATTATCAACTAGAATTTTTCTAAATGGGGCTGGCAATTATTTGTAAGTGTCTCAGTGCTTTTTATAATGCTGAGATCATTTAAGTGGTTTGTCATTCTTCTTCTGATAGTTGTCATTGTATAACTGATGGAGATAATCAGTTTGTGACCAGAAACTGTCTTGTACTGGGTAACTGAATTTATATACTATATTAGTCATTGTTAGTTTAGATTTGATAGCAGTATTGTTATTTGTAATTATGAGGTCGATAGTTTTTAACTTTCTATATTGTTTGGATCTATGGGTAAAATGTATTGTTTAATGATGCATAACATGGTGAATACATTTTGTTGAAAATTTTCATGTGTTTGGTTACAGTAAAAGATAGTTATAGTACTATATTTTTGTCTTTGTGCCAATTAATTTCTATAAGAATAATTTTATTTGATTATCAATAATGTAACTCACTTCTATGGAGCCTTGGATTTATAAGCTACTCACCAATGTCAAACTTTATCAGTGTTCAACTGTTAGACTCAACCTCACTTTGATAGATGCAGAGATTTACAAATTTGTAAAAGATAAAATATCAAATTTTTCATGAATTTACTTAAAAATTAGATTTTAAAAAATGGCATAAAAAGAATAAAAATGTGAGATTTGACAATCACAAAAGTTTGAAAAAGACTATTCTTAAAGGTTACATATTACATAGAAAGCAAGAATGATTTGCATTACCCAGAATATATATATATATATATATATATATATAAAGCCAACATGAAGTCAACACCCAGAGGTGACAGTCTGTTTCATGCTAAACATAATTGTCAGGCTATGTGCAGCATTGTTAGTTGTAATTATTGTAATTATAAGGTTGGTAGTTTTTAATTTTCTATATTGTTCAGATGAATGAGTAAAATGTATTGTTTAATGATGCTTGACGATTGCGTTTAATGTTGACTTCAATGGCCACTTTTATATTTACATATCCTCTATCCTTCACATTGAGCACTTTAACCTATAAATATAGCATACCTTAAAACTATATTTATTATATAATATATATACACACACACATTAAATTGAAATGTAGTCTGATAAGCCAGGGAAAAAGAAATTCCCTGGGGAAATAAATTATAACCAATGGACCCTTAAAGTTGTCTGTTTTCATTGAATTAGTAGCTCTGATTTAACATTGAGCTCTCTGGATTTCATTCTCCTTGGGATTATCCATATGGATTACCAAGATTTTCATTACTTAACTATATATATATATATATATATATATATATATATATATAGGCGCATGCCCAAGTGGTTAGAAGATTCACTATCTGACCATGAAGCTTGGGTTCGAATCTCACCATGGTCGATTTGTCAGGAAGGAGACTTCCTGATATTATCGTGCGGCCCCTTTGGAAAGTGCCTGAAAACGTCACCACAGGTTAACCTGAGCCTTGTGAGTGAATTTAGGTAGACAAAACTCTTGTGGGTCATTGACAGCTGTGCTAGCACAAGTCATTGTGGTTGAGGCCTTGAGCATGCTGGTCTTGTTCAAATTGTTGATCATGCTAGACAACACGCTCTCTCCCAGAAACTAACTAAAGTTTGCTCAGCATAGTTGCTGTATAAACCACAGGTTGGCTCTGTGAGTGTTGAGCAAACACAAATGTGCATGAGTGAGCATCTGCAATAGATTGGCTAGCCACCCTACTAGATGGGTATCCTCGAATATGAATGGCCAGCTATTATTTTATCTATCATATATATATATATATATATATATATATATATATATATATATATATATATTGCAACAGTCAGTTTTCACTCAGCACCTGATAATTACATCGTGCATAAATCTCAAAGTTGTGCTACTGGTTAGGAAAAAAAAAATGTATATTTATTATTAATATAAATCATAGCTCTGTTATACACTATTTCATTTGCACTATCACTCCATGTGCAATATCTCATATATATATATATATATATATATATATATATATATAAAGACATTTTTATGTTTATACGTTCTTTTTTATAGATATAAACATTTAAGTAAATGCTCTGCTTATAATAAACAGTATTAACAACATTTTCCGGTCTGAATGTCCAAGGAATTGTCATAGAAAATATGCATCCTCCGACAGGAATCGAACCTGTATCCTATATGGAAATGTCATATAATTTGACGTGCTTTTACCAATTTTGCCACAGAGGAGTATTTCGGTTAGCAAGGTCAATTTTACTGTTTTACTGTAAAAGCACGTCAGGCTATATGACGGTTCCATATAGGATACAGGTTCGATTGTCGGTCCATTTCATAATTAAAAAAAAAAAAGTTATTCCAACAAAATTAAAAAAATATATAAGTTATTCCAAAATTTGCTTGAAGATGAAACTCAACTAATGCTTTTAATTTAATCATATAATTAAATTTGAAGTTTTTAGCTTCAGTTTTTTTGAAACATGGTTATTACTGTGTAGCAAAGTAGCCATATTTAAAATCAGTTAATCCATAATATTTATGCTCTGTAAATTTATATTGAGCACATTTTGTAAAAAAAGATAATATATCTTATTGTCTTTTTTCCTTATTATATATATATATATATATATATATATATATATATATATATATATATATATATATATATATTGTAGTTCACACAAATCATATATACATACAAAAATCCAAAATGTTGATGCAGCTAACAGACTATGTGCCAAAAGATCTAAGAAAACAACAAGAAAAACCTTAAATGAGAAAAAATTGTGAACTAAGAAAGAAGAAATGATCAAAAGGCAAGCACCTACCTAAAGAGTGAATTACAGTGCTCAATGTCTAGGTTATCCCAAGAGAGTAAAAATACTTCACAGTGTCAACCCTCAGTGAGACACAACTTTAGTTACTAGGCAAATTTCATGCTCCCACAATCTTCAGATGACTAGAATGTGTGCTTTCTAAGAAATCTTTATGAATATGAAGCTTACTAAAAGTACAAGATATTTTTATTATATATTGTTAAATATTATTTATATTTTTTGTCAACTTCATAGCAAAATTATAAACTGAAGAAAGAATTATTTATTGTTATATATTTTAGATTTATATTTTTGATATTTGCAATAAAAAACAAGAAAAATATATAAACATGTTTGAGATACAAACCAGAGAGTGTCAGCTAATATCCAAAATTGAATTTGAATGCTCACTTTCCTCCAGTAATCATTTTAAGAAACACTGGCAATGTTCCACTTACCTACAAAAAATAAAGACAAATAGGTATTGATTAGTTTCATTTATAACAACACAAGTATCATGTTGTTCGACATGTAATTACTGTTTCATATAAAAATAAACTGAAAGATTTAATAGGAAAAACTATTTAATCAAAATATTCTTGTGTCAATTTGCTAGCCAGTCCATCAGCTTTTATCAACTGGTGTTGTACAAGAGTGATAAAAAAACATAATATAAAAATAACTTTCATGACTGTTGACAATTAAGATTATCCATTATGTCATGTCCCTGCTTTTTTCTCACCCTTACTCTGTATCTTCTCATTCTCTCCCTTATCCCTCTCAATACAATTAAGATTATCCATTATCTCCCTGCTTTCTTCTCACCCACTCTGTATCTTATCATTCTCTCCTTATTAAGATTATCCATTATCTCATGCTTCTGCTTTCTTCTCACCCTTACTCTGTATCTTATCATTTTCTTATCCCTCTCACAATTAAGATTATCCATTATCTCATGCTTCTGCTTTCTTCTGTATCTGTATCTTATCATTCTCTCCCTTATCCCTCTCAATGCAATTAAGATTATCCATTATCTCATGCCTCTGCTTTCTTCTCACCCTTACTCTGTATCTTATCATTCTATCCCTTATCCTCTCAATGCAATTAAGATTATCCATTATCTCATGCTTCTGCTTTCTTCTCACCCTTACTCTGTATCTTATCATTCTCTCCCTTATCCCTCTCAATGCAATTAAGATTATCCATTATCTCATGCTTCTGCTTTCTTCTCACCCTTACTCTGTATCTTATCATTCTCTCCCTTATCCCTCTCAATACAATTAAGATTATCCATTATCTCATGCTTCTGCTTTCTTCTCACCCTTACTCTGTATCTTATCATTCTATCCCTTATCCCTCTCAATGCAATTAAGATTATCCATTATCTCATGCCTCTGCTTTCTTCTCACCCTTACTCTGTATCTTATCATTCTATCCCTTATCCCTCTCAATACAATTAAGATTATCCATTATCTCATGCTTCTGCTTTCTTCTCACCCTTACTCTGTATCTTATCATTCTCTCCCTTATCCCTCTCAATACAATTAAGATTATCCATTATCTCATGCTTCTGCTTTCTTCTCACCCTTACTCTGTATCTTATCATTCTCTCCCTTATCCCTCTCAATACAATTAAGATTATCCATTATCTCATGCTTCTGCTTTCTTCTCACCCTTACTCTGTATCTTATCATTCTGTATCCTCTCAATACAATTAAGATTATCCATTATCTCATGCCTCTGCTTTCTTTCACCCTTACCTTACTCTGTATCTTATCATTCTTCTCCTTATCCCTCTCAATACAATTAAGATTATCCATTATCTCATGCCTCTGCTTTCTTCTCACCCTTTCTGTATCTTATCATCCCTTTATCCCTCTCAATACAATTAAGATTATCCATTATCTCATGCCTCTGCTTTCTTCTCACCCTTACTCTGTATCTTATCATTCTCTCCTTATCCCTCTCAATACAATTAAGATTATCCATTATCTCATGCCTCTGCTTTCTTCTCACCCTTACTCTGTATCTTATCATTTCTCCTTATCCCTCTCAATACAATTAAGATTATCCATTATCTCATGCCTCTGCTTTCTTCTCACCCTTACTCTGTATCTTATCATTCTCCCTTATCCCTCTCAATACAATTAAGATTATCCATTATCTCATGCTTCTGCTTTTTCTTCTCACCCTTACTCTGTATCTTATCATTCTCTCCCTTATCCCTCTCAATACAATTAAGATTATCCATTATCTCATGCTTCTGCTTTCTTCTCACCCCTTACTCTGTATCTTATCATTCTCTCCCTTATCCCTCTCAATACAATTAAGATTATCCATTATCTCATGCTTCTGCTTTCTTCTCACTGTATCCATTCTCTCCTTTATCCCTCTCTCTGTATCCATTATCTCATTCTCTCCTTATCCCTCTCAATACAATTAAGATTATCCATTATCTCATGCCTCTGCTTTCTTCTCACCCTTACTCTGTATCTTATCATTCTCTCCCTTATCCCTCTCAATACAATTAAGATTATCCATTATCTCATGCTTCTGCTTTCTTCTCACCCTTACTCTGTATCTTATCATTCTATCCCTTATCCCTCTCAATGCAATTAAGATTATCCATTATCTCATGCTTCTGCTTTCTTCTCACCCTGACTCTGTATCTTATCATTCTCTCCTTATCCCTCTCAATACAATTAAGATTATCCATTATCTCATGCTTCTGCTTTCTTCTCACCCTTACTCTGTATCTTATCATTCTATCCTTATCCCTCTCAATACAATTAAGATTATCCATTATCTCATGCCTCTGCTTTCTTCTCACCCTTACTCTGTATCTTATCATTCTCTCCCTTATCCCTCTCAATACAATTAAGATTATCCATTATCTCATGCCTCTGCTTTCTTCTCACCCTTACTCTGTATCTTATCATTCTATCCTTATCCCTCTCAATACAATTAAGATTATCCATTATCTCATGCCTCTGCTTTCTTCTCACCCTTACTCTGTATCTTATCATTCTATCCCTTATCCCTCTCAATACAATTAAGATTATCATTATCTCATGCCTCTGCTTTCTTCTGCTTACTCTGTATCTTATCATTCTATCCCTATCCTCTCAATACAATTAAGATTATCCATTATATCTGCTTTCTTCTCACCCTTACTCTGTATCTTATCATTCTCTCCCTTATCTCTCAATACAATTAAGATTATCCATTATCTCATGCCTCTGCTTTCTTCTCACCCTTACTCTGTATCTTATCATTCTCTCCTTATCCTCTCAATACAATTAAGATTATCCATTATCTCATGCCTCTGCTTTCTTCTCACCCTTACTCTGTATCTTATCATTCTCTCCCTTATCCCTCTCAATACAATTAAGATTATCCATTATCTCATGCTTCTGCTTTCTTCTCACCCCTTACTCTGTATCTTATCATTCTATCCTTATCCCTCTCAATACAATTAAGATTATCCATTATCTCATGCCTCTGCTTTCTTCTCACCTTTACTCTGTATCTTATCATTCTATCCCTTATCCCTCTCAATACAATTAAGATTATCCATTATCTCATGCCTCTGCTTTCTTCTCACCCTTACTCTGTATCTTATCATTCTATCCCTTATCCCTCTCAATACAATTAAGATTATCCATTATCTCATGCCTCTGCTTTCTTCTCACCCTTACTCTGTATCTTATCATTCTCTCCCTTATCCCTCTCAATGCAATTAAGATTAACCATTACCTCATGCTTCTGCTTTCTTCTCACCTTTACTCTGTATCTTCTCATTCTCTTCCTTATCCCTCTCAATACAAATAAGATTAACCATTATCTCATACCTCCGCTTTCTTCTCACCCTTGCTCTGTATCTTCTCATTTTCTCATTTATCCCTCCCAGTAAAACTAAGATTATTATCTCATACCTCTACTTTTCTCTAACCCTTTTCATGTATCTTCTCTTTCTCACCCTTAATCCTTCTACTCTTCATGTTTTGTTCAGGTTTTTATTTAAATTTCATATAAACATGGATGAGTTTCATATTTTTCAAATGAATAAAAAATTCACAAGTATTTTCTATTGCATCTTTTCTTTGGACTTTCTTTTGATCTGTCTCTCCATAAAGAATGTACTACAGTTTTTAATATTAGCTGTTTAAATTTTTAATATTGACCTTTTAGTTTGACTCTTCAAAATAAAACTTTTTTTTTTATTTTTCATTTTGATTTAACCTATAAAAGCCAGAAATAACACTCAAAACAATATATGACAAAAAATTAAGAACCAGATGTTATATTTATTTTGAATATACATCAGGCCCCTCTCTGTCTTTCACTGTCCAGACAAATCAATCCCCACATTGTATTGTGTCTCTTGTTAACGCCATGTATACAAACATTGGAAATGACTTGGGAAGTTCACAAGAAACAGAAGATTAAATCAACAGGAAGAAATGAAGACACAAATCTGGGTTCTCAACAATTTGGTATTTATTTCAATAAGGTTCTCTGGTTTTTGATTCTCTTTAATTCAGCCAACTGACTGCTACCAATGTGACTGGTTAGATAGGATGATTCCTCTCTCTGTCTAGACCTAACTGGGACTTGAATTATTAAGGGCTGCCAATGGAAACATCTCGTTTCCGATAAAGTGCTACTTGATACCCTTTTTCATGTATTTCTTTATTATTTTTTTCCTCTTCGCCCAAGTAGGTTGCCGCTTTGAACCCGCGACTTCAAAGACTATCTTCCATCCCCACTGTTCTGTGGGACAGACTTCCAAGATGATATTTTTCCAATCACTACAATCTTAACCAGTTGAAGTTTAGAGTTAATTGTTATCTTCCTCTCCTATCTGTACAAACCACTTCTTAATGTAACCCTCTACCACAAGTGGCCCTCAAGCCTTGTTCAAGATAACCTTAATATATATATATAAAAAAAAAAAAATCAACACTTCTGATAACATCAGTTAGGTCCCACTTTGTGTTCAGTCAGTTGTATGGGAGACCTATTATACCTTACTATATTTTAAAAGGAGTGTGTGAAAACTCCACATTACTAATGGTGGGACAATACTGTACAATACTAACAGAGTTAAGGAAAGCATTAATGTGAATTGAATATGAAGTAATCTGGCCAGAGATTCACTTATTTCATTCTATTTACTGTTAGCCATTAAAACATTTACATGTCCACCATTTTTTTAAGTACCCCAGCAAAACTGAAAGTAAAGATGAAACTGTCAGCTGAAATTCTTTAACTCCCTTCTCCACTTGTCAAACAGTTAGTCAAATGCCATACTTGCTACACACTTGGGCAATCATGTTTCTCTCTCTCAATTCATGACTGACTGGGCAGATGATTTCCCACAAGAGGCTGCCATTTCTTTCTACAGTAGACTGGTTGCCAACCAAGGCTATATAACCCAGTCTCTCTTGCTTTTCAGCCTATAACTGAAGGGAAAAGTGATGGAGTTATCCTTTTCCCAAGGCTATTTGTGTATCTGTAAATGTAACAAACCTGACTGGAATTCAAACTCTAACTCTCTGATTTTTCATTCTGAGCCATTATTTACTTGTCAAACATTTTCATATTAGTTTTGGTTTTTTAAGCTTTTCATCCCAAGCAAGGCGGGAGTGCCACTAGCATGCCAGGGGTTAGAGAGAGTGGAAGCAAGAGTAAAGAGGCATGATAGAGGAAAGGATGAAGAGAAGGACAGGGAATAGATCAAGGCATTTAGAGATGTCAATTGACATTGCATTTGAATAGTTGGAGATTATAGCTATCAGGGAAGCAAATAAGAGTAAGGGAGTTCCACAGACAGGAAGTGCGAGACATTAAGCTATTGAAGTAGAAGAGACAGCTACATTTAACCATTTCAACAGTGAAAGGGTGGGACTGAGATGCCAACCTAGTAGCATGTTTAAATTCATGTAGTTTGGAAACTAGCAAAAGTAGCTCATCAGAGCAGTTACTATAAAAGTATTTGTAGAAAAGACAGAGGGAAGTAATGACATGTCTGTGAGAGCATGGCTGTAAATGAGATGCCAAATCAGGGCCAATCGGATTGCATATCCATCCCTGGATTTTGTCGAGGACTGTAAGATGAACAGCGGGGACTCCAGACCATATATAGCAGCAGTATTCTATGCAAGGGTGAATGGTTGATTTATAGATTTGAAGG